TATTTTTTTTTTTTTTTCCATTGATGTGCACTGATGGGCATTTATAAAGCTGCACTGATCAGGGCATTATGTATCAGTGGAAATACTGTAACTCCCCTCACAGGTCCAGCTCTCCTACCCTCACACACAGTCTTTTTGTGAGGAAAGGAGAGCCAATAACAACTGGCAGTGTTTGTTTGACACAGCTGATCACATGGTAAAGGGCCGCTGTGGTTGGTCCTTTACCCTGATCTGAGATCCAAGGCACAAAGCGGTCACAGAGAGCTCCCAATGTATGCACGTGGGACGATGTCCGGGGGCATCCTCCCAGAACTGGAGAGCTGCACTGTAGCCATTTATCAGCTAAAGCATGGTGTTAAAGTAAACTTGGCTCAAATGTAGGCAATTCAGTCTGAGCATGATTTAAAAATACATAAGCAAAGTTAACCTAGCTACTGTAGATACAGAGGTATTTAAGACTTTGAGTCACTGACCTAGAACAAGTATGTAAGGGTGGAATGAAGTTGAAACTCAAGACCTGCATACTTTGTTTCAGGTTTCTGCCTCAGAAAGCACATAAGTCAAGGGATTAGTGTGGCAGGAAACCAACATTTTCAGAAGGAAATGCTAGCATTGGCAAACTCCATATCTATCTGACTACATGTTTCCTTTAATCTGTGATCTCCTTGTATATAGAAATATTCAGTCTACTCTGTTTGCTTTTGATATGTTATCTCTGTACCTTGTAAAAAAAATTATATAGAAATGTAAAAAAAATTTTAAACATGTATAAACACACACATTATCGCTCTTGTTGGGCTAGAGCGTAATTATGTTTCGTAAAGGTAATATTGTATACAAAAGCAGCTATACACATTGGAGAAAACTATACCTGCTTCACACAAGCCTCAAGCCGAGCAGACAATATCCTTTCCCCTCTATCTCCTCTTTCGCTCCCAGCATCTAATCAGGTTTCACTTCTTGCCGACTGTATTGATCTTCAGCTCTGGAAGATGCAAATTACCCCAGCTGCCAGGATTCAGGGTGTTTTATCATCAATGCAGAGTAATTATCTTTGGCTGCACTGATATTGGATTGTTAAGCCCCGGGATAATGCACCAGGTAAAGACATTTAGAAAACAGCCCACCAAGGGGATTTGTGTAAATTTGATGGATAGAGTAAGAGAAGTGCTGCTGACGTGTAAGCCCTAGGGAAGGTGCAGGGCTTCAAAGGGGTACATACATACTACGGACAGGGAAACAATAAGGAGCAGAAGAGAAGCCAAAGGCCTGATAATATCTCTAAAGTGAAAGAGATTATGGGGCTAATTTATGTAAACAGAAGCAAAATAAAAAAAGGCTGTTGCCCATGGCATCTGACACCTTCTATTCTTTGGGGAAAAAAATCCATCCTTCACCCTTCACACCTTAAAGAGGGTGCACAAACAACCAATACACCATGGAAATCTAAAATGTCAAAAATGGTCAGCGCACCAATAATAACAGGTCTCGCACTTTCTGTTGCACAAGCTATGTTGTTAGCTAAACGTAGATCTCAGTAATGATTTGAGATCTGTCATCTTTTAGGCTGGTTGGGGGGGGGGGGGGGGGTTGTTAGTCATATGAGGGTTTGTATCAGTTACCAAGGTTTGCTTTGCCATCCACTGGACCATATTTAAAGGAACTGGAAATTTTGAACTTGGACATTCATTTCTTCTTTAAACTTTACTGACAACAAAACATTTGCATATCCCTATTTTTATCGGTAAATACAGCCTTTTCGCTAAAAAAAAATAACTATATTGTTTTGTCATATTATAGATGATAGATATTTTATAGATTGGTGGGGACGTTACTTTTTAATGGTGGGTAACCTCAAGGACCAGTGAAGGCAGAGGAAGAGTGGGAGGTTGTTAAGTACAGTACTTGGCTTTTGTAGAAAAGGTCAAAATGTGCGTTAAAGTTTGGATCTGCTGATAGTTATAACTTTATTCATTGAAAGTATGTGTTTATCATGTTGTGGACATTTCAGTTTACATTGCCTGGGTTTGTCATTGGTTTACTTCAATGGCCTCTTGTATTGAACTGTATTGTTGCTGTATTGTCTCCCTTTATATTGTAAAGTGCTGAGCAAACTGTTGGTGCTATATAAATCCTGTATAATAATTATAATAATAGTAATGGTGCCAGTTGCTTGATGGAGGCCATCTGCCTGAGGGTACATAGGCTGTACTACCCATGTTTCCCACTATTATTTTAGGAAACTCTGATTCACAGCAGCCCAATAGAGCACTTATATAAACCAGCCTGTTTAAAAACAGCACAGTTGTTAAGCAGACCATAGATGGGTAGTTTTTTTTTTTTCATTCAGCCAGCAGAAAAAAAAAAAAAAAAACACAGATTTCCTCCATCCACACAAACAAGGTGGATGGGAGGAACCACTCCTGCTGGGATATTGTATTTTGACAGCTGAACCCACTGCTGTCAGAATACACTGATCGGCGGCTGCAGACGCTAATCGACAAATGTTTTCCATCATGTCCCTTCAACAGAAGATGGTCAAGCAATCGACTTCTGTCAAATGGAAATGGCTAAACACTGATCGAAATTTGTCTGGTTCCTGCTGAACCAGATGAATTTTGATTTGCCTATGGCCAACTTCAGATTACCGGTCTAGGCCTGGTTACAGCGTAGTCATAGATATGCTGGATATCTCCAGTAAATCTTTAGAATCTAATGTAGCTATTCCTCTGACTTCTGTTTTAGATCTTTGTTGACTGAATGCTATAGTAGTTTGGATATAAGTAAAACAAGACTTTACCAGTCAGTGGCAGTTTTTTTAGCACCTCAGCCATGATATCTACCATGGGATCTGCTTTATATCTACCAGAAACGTTGTAGTTTGACAACCTACCTAAACAACGATTAAACTTACATCAATTTAATTTGGGGCTCACTCTCCATAATTTTTGGTAAATCATAAGGTGTTTGCACAGTCATATTGTAATGTCTAGGCTATACAGTCTTGGTGGCAGTGGTGTATTTAAGTTTCATGCTGCCCTAGGCAAAACAAAAATAGTCTCCCCCCCCATGGGGAGACCCTGACACCGACCAACACCCCCCCTCCCCCATGAAGAAAGCCTGACATTGACCAACAACACCCCAGCCCCACCCGAGAGAGCCTTCCACTACCACCGCCCTCCATACACACTGGCCACCCCCCCACCCCGCTGAGAGTGAAGGCACTCACCTTCACAGCTCCAGACATCCCTGGGAACAAGAAGGAGATCCCACCTGGTCCCCATGCTGTGTGTCTCTTCTTTCATCCCTTCTTTTGGGGGGTGGCACTGCCCCTCTGAAAAATACCACTGCACCCTTCTTAAAATGCCACTGCCCCCCTGAAAGATGCCACTGCCCCCCTGAAAAATGCTGCCCTACGCAAATGCCTTGTTTGCCTTGTGGTAAATACTCCCCTGCTTGGTGGTATGATATCATGTTTACCAATAAGAAGAGGAACACCCAATTCTTGTAGTGGGTACACTGAGTTTTCTGTTTGTATTTGGCTGTGCAGCAGGCAATAAAAAATATTCACATCTGCATATATTGCTGCAGCTATTATGACATATTGGTCTGCGGTCTAAACTATGGCATAGAATGCAGATATTTGTGATCATAGCAATGCTGCTTTGCTTACCCCTTCCAGTATGCAAATAAATACTTAGATTCCTATACAGCAATATTTAAGAAAATGCCATTAAATACTTACAAAAGACATGGATAGGTAACAGTGTCTGTCATTTGGTATACTTCAGTCCATCATGTAACTGGAAGATAATATAATAAACCGCTAAGAAATGGAACTGCTATAGATTTAAGCAGCCAACTGATGCATTTACAGTATAGAACACCAGAATAGATCTAGAGATGCGGCATATTTTCATTGTCACAGTTACATTTATTTGCAGATTCTAGTGATCAGGAAAGAGTTAAGGCTGACATATCTTCCCAGGCACCCAGTAGCACTAAAACACAAATGAACACTGATGCTGTGAAATGACAGGCGAGAAAGGCCACAGCTAATGCATTCAAGAGACAATAGCGTGATTTGATTCCCCAGGATCTATACATACTGCTGTTATTTAGAAGGATTTTGCTGCCCCAGGCAAAAGCAATCAAACTGGAGGCAGCGCCCTCCCAGATCCTTGTTCCCTTTAATTGGAGACACAGCCCGGGATGCCCGCAGGCAACTGACAGTGTTTAAATGCAGCATGCACTGCGGAGGAATGTTCTAGAGAACAAAGCCGAGCACACTCCTTTGTGTTCTTTCTTTATTAGATTTTTTTCCCTTCTGTAGTGTGTGAAGGAAGATGGAAGGGGGTGGGGGGGGGGGGGGCAGGTTCATTATTACAGTGACATGTAAGAACCGTAGAGAATCATTTTTTTTCTTTATATTGGCACATATGTTCCAATGATGTGTAACATTTTTGTTTGTGAATATGGAATGTGTCATACATATTATAATTGATATGTTGTTCCCAAAATGTGCCAACATAGTCTGCAGGTCTGTACAGTCAGCAAGTAAACATTCTGTCCTTTCCACTCAGGTACAGTCCATATCTTGGCACAAATGGAATGAGGGCCCTGCTCAGCGGTGCTTACTGCTTGTTCAGGTGATGATGAAGGTATAGGGAAAGATTGCAAGTCTCCCTCTCCTGAAAATCTCCGTGCTGTTGGCAAGCTGTTAAACCAGTTCTTTGTAAAAGGAAGTGGCTGTTCTTGAATTCACCTGCCTGCACTTAGTGTTACTAAACCCAGGACCATGCATTCACTATATCTGGTCTACCACAAGTACATGGAAATGCAGTTATGTATTTTAGTAAATATCAGCTGCTAAATACCTTTTTCTTAGCAGTTATACAGCATAGCAGTCTTGTGACTTCTATCAGTGTCCAGCTGAGCACTAGTTAAAGCTTGTAGGAGGAGTTTTCATTCTGCTCTGATTGTCCTATGAGATTGCATAACCCCTGACCCTCTGCCTGGACAGCACTGATTGGCCCTGTGCTGATCACATGCACTCTGCCAAGAAAAAAAAAATTCTCTAGCAATATACACTAAACTGAGCATGTACAGCTTGCCCCCAAGGCTCTATACTATAAACAGGTGACTGTGAAAAAAGGGGAGGATCAGAGAAGACAGGATCAAGCATTCTTTTTACACAATGCAGAGGATTAACCTCTTAGGTTCCACAGGGAGTATAACAAGCATGCCTTACTGCATATACAGACTGATTTGACTGTTGTGGGTTTAATAACACTTTAAGCTGACCATACACTTATATATTCCTACATCAGCCCTAAACAGTGTGCATGAACCAATCCATGCTGCCAGTAATCTGACAGCCAGCTTCAGTACACACTAAACTGAGCATGTGCAGAGTAACTCCTAGAGCTCTGTACAATTAGCAGATGGATTGGGGACATTAGAAGAAGGGGAGGATCAGAAAAGATAGGATCAAATAGCCTTTTTAAACAGTGCAGAGGATTAACCCCTTAGGTTCCACAGTCAGTATAACAAGCATGCTTTACTGCTTATACTGAATGATTTTACTGTTGTGGGTTTAGTAACACTTTTTAATTGTCCCTTAGGACAACCTGGTTCAGTGCCCTACCCCCTTTGCTGGCTTTATTCAAAGAAGGTAATGCATCTTGATGCTGACCACTTGCTGCTGCAATCCTGCCCAGAATTTCATAAGCAGCAGGACTACATTAGCAAGGACAGGGGCAGAGGGTAGATTTTCCTGCATTTAGCACATGCATAATTGATGAAATTAGCAGGTTACTGAATAGTTCTATTCATTGTTTGCGGTCTCTGTTTAAAAACCATGTCAGAATAAAAGTATGGGGGGAGGGGGGGGGTGAAATTTTTGAGAAAGTCAGAGGTCACTTAAATCTCCTGTCAACTCCCTGACCTAACATTCTCTTTCCAGCTTCTGAATATATACTGTGTGAAAGGGCCGTCCTCTATAGCTAAAGTGTCAGGTTCATTAAAGGTAAATAAGGGGCAAATGTAGACTTTTACATTTAAATTATGGTCCATATCCCCATCCTAGTGATGCTGGTGTTGAAAGGCAGCAAGATGATCAGGCAAAGACTGGCATACGTAAGTGACTGGAAAATCACGAGACTGTGGATTAAGGTAAGTTTTAGCAAGTGCTAAATCCTTTAAAAAAAAAAAAAAAAAAGGTAAAGATTGCATAGGAGTAGGTGGGTGGTGTCCAATATTTACTTTTTTTTTGTCAGAGTCGTAGTCCAGCTTTAAAGTGACACTAAACTCTGGTTTTAAAAAAAAAAACTATTTTCAGTTATGTATTCTTCATTCAAAAAAGTACTCAATCAGCTTGCTAAGAGGGCTAGGAGGAGCCGGGAGTGCTAGCGGTGGACCCAAGATGAGTAGGATCGGGGCTGTTCTGTGGAAAACCAATTGCACGTAGCAGGTAAGTATAACATGTTTGTTATTTATAAAAAAAATTATTTATAATCACTTTAAGTAAAAAAAAAAACTAGCACAAGGAACAATACTTACATTGAATGAGAAATATCCCGTTCTCCAATCATGCAACCAGTGAATTCTGAGTTCCCATCCTACTAGCGTAACATGAAATCCCTTCAAGGTTAACTATATACACTATGAGGATTTTAGTTTATTTTGTTTCAGAGTTCTACCAACTGGTTTGTGGATTTTGTCTGCGCTGAGCTCTCTCATTTTTTCTAGCTCTTTGCCTGCACCAAATGCCAGACCCATGGAATTTTGTTCAGATTTGTGTATCTACTCAGAACGTGACACTTGGGATGTTGTCATTGATGTAAAGGCAGTATGTTATTTTGAGGTAAACCCCAGAAAAAAAAACGAGCTAGCCAAATGTTTTTGATTTATAAAGCACAAACCTCTTATGCTGAGCTGTGCTAATTTAAAACGTACAAGAGCTCTAACAATAACATGAGAGCATAAAAATGTGAAGATCGTGAAAAACGACTTAAAAAAAAAACCTTAAATATAAAGGCTCAGTTTGCCTTTTGAAAAAAAAAAAAAATAATAATAATAATATAAAGGCACATTTTTTTCTGATCGTGGGTGCAATGTCATGCTCCTGCAGACTCTCAGGATAGCTGTCTAACCGTACCTCATACGGGCAGGCAGTTGGCTGAGAGCAGGACGCCCTGGTAGTTCATTAAGAACCACAAGTCGTCAGCAGCATTGGCTGATGGTACTTGTAGTCTATCCATCCACAGGAAACTGTGAATAAATGACAGAGCCTTGTGTTCAAAGCCCTGCCCAACTGCACTTCTTTCAAATTGTGACAGCAGGTGTGGGGAGAGGATCTCATGGGGGGGGGTTAGCGGGTGCAGATGCTGGAGCATGTTACATATTCCACTCTAAGGCTCCATGCACACCGGGCGTTTTTAATAACGCTGGTAACGTTAGCTGTGTAAAGTCGCGTTAAAAACAGTTTTAGTGTTTTTGAATTGGCGATTAGCCATGTTTTTTCGTGGTTGCGTTTTTTTAAGCTAAAAAATATTTTTTTTTTGTTCAAAAAAGTTCAAAAATGCTGGTTTGCCGCGTTTTTCAGCATTAGAGCATTTTTACAACTAAAAAACTCCTCTAGAAACCCACTAGTTCTGGGGAGTTCTTTCCAGCCAAAAAAACGCCACTGCCAAAAAACCGCTGATTACAGTCTGTGTGCATTGACACATAGGATAACATTCTAGGGAGTTTACTGGCTGTAGAAAAAAACGCTACAAGCAGCAGCTGTAAAAACATACAGTGTGCATGAGGACTAAAAACAGGTGGAGAATGTAACATGTAACTTAAAAACTTCTTAAAAAACAACCAAAAAAAGTCTCAAAAATTTTTTGGGTAAATCAAAACATTAAATTTTGAAATGCCTTGTCAGAGCTACAACTCTGCAGCCAACATAGAGGAGGAGCCTTGTGTAATGCAGCACTGTAGTGACAACACAGGCTTTCATTGCTTACCACCTTCTACAAATGCTAGTGCTTGATATCATACTGAACTTGTTACATCAGTACTTTGAGCCTGGGTTCACATATGTGTGGTGCAGTATATCGTATGTGATTCACACAGGAAATGCACCACATTCCTGTGCAAATCACATGCGATTTGTGTGCGGTACAATTGGAGCCATACATTTTTTATGGCTCTATTCGCACAAAAAATGTGCAGCACCTGCACTAGAATTGGATGGCATAGGTATTCACACCTGCAATTCGATTCTGCACATCGCACCACGTTTTGCGGACTGCTTTCGGGGTGTTAACCTAGAAGACAAGCAGATACAGTCTGACCAGAGGACTCAATAAACTGCCACAGTGTCATGGTAGTTCATTGAGAACTCCAAGTTGACAGCTGCAAATGCTGTCGGGACTTGTCTGTGAATGAATGAAACGGCTGTGTGGACGGTGCCCCGCATGGCCGCGCTGTTCTTAAAAAGTGACAGCTAGTATGGAGAACTTCTCCCCATACTGCTGTCACAGGGAGTGCGGGATTTGGGGAGTGGCTTGCAGGACTGGGAACATGTTACATGTTCCACCCTAAAAAAGGGTGAAACGTGTAACATTCCCAAAGGTGAACTTATCCTTTAAAAAATAAATAATCCACCCCTTATCTCTAACCTCTGCATTTTCACCTTATTCCTGCACTGCCTTTTTTTTTATTAACTGAACTCAATATAGTGTATGTGCCAAAAAAGCATATAGTAGCAGAAACCTGGCTTTAAAAGCAATGGTTGAGTCCAATATGTATAATTTTATCATTGACAATAGTGCCTCTTTGTGCCTACAGACTCGAGAACAGTTGTCATAAGGAACAAGTCTTTCCTGGGCAGTTCAGAAGTGGCTCAGCCATGCATAGCACATCTTATTAGAAAATGTCTTTGTAGCTGCTCTAAACGTAACACTATATTTTAAAGGTTAGCTTTCCTTTAAGGTGTCTAAAGCACATCATGTGCAAGCTTTGTTTTCTCCTGTTATTCTGTAATCATCCAATTTTGTGGTTTCTATTATTATGCTCGGGGCTGTACAAGGTGTGGTGATAAAGAACAGACCTGCAAACTGAGATTGTATGGGAAAAACACCATCTGTAGAGCTAATTGTGAGCTCAACATAAACCTTGATAACCCTAAAGCAAACCATTATAAGCTTGCAGATTTGTATCTGGGGAAAACAACAAACTTGCCCATGGATGGCATAGGTCTCACTGAGAATAGCGGGCAGTGAAGCTGTCAATAGCTATTAGACCCCATTCACATGGATGTCATCCATTCAGTCACATTTTTTCAAAGGGAGAAACCGATTCAGTTTACATCAGTTTGCACATTTGTCTTCAGTTCAGTTTACATCAGTTTGCACTTCAATCCAATTTACATCGTTTCAGTTTACATCAGTCTACATCTGTTCTGTTTCGATGGATCTGGACGCTGGATGTTCCGTTTTAATAAAACAGACCTGAACGGACATGGATGTAAATGGATGATCATCCGTTTACATCTGCACACCTATGGACATACATTATGGCTCAGTCTGGATCCATCTGAAAAATGGACAAATGGTCTAGACTGAATGCCCATGTGGCAGGGGCTTAAGGATGCATTCACACTTGAGCGTCTTGTAGCTTGAACCTCCAAAAAAAGGTCAAACTTAGAAAATCAGCAAATTCTCAGAGCACTGCAGAGCGATCCATAAACTTGCTAGATTAGCTTTGGTGACCAAGCACCTTTATCACAGGGGGAGAGTGAGAAGGAGAGGAGTACAAACACCGTCAATTATCTCAGAGAACAATATTGATCACATTTTTCCCCATGGAGCCCCCAGCCAATCAGTGTCTGCTCTGCCAGGACAGGCCAGCTGTCATCTCATTATTATTATTCTTATACAGGATTTATAAAGCGCCAACAGTTTGCGCAGCGCTTTACAATATAAGGGAGACAGTACAATTAGAATACATTTCCGTACAGAAGGAATATGAGGGCCCTGCTCGTGGAGCTTACAATCTAAAGGAAGGGGGAGGTGATACAAAAGGTGATAGCTGCGGGGGATGATCTGGTGGAGGTGATTCAAGTACAGTTCTTTGGTGGAGGTGGGGTAGGTTTCCCTGAATAAGTGAGTTTTCAAAGATCGCCTAAAGGCAGACAGGATGGGGGCTGACCGGACATACTGTGGTAGGGAGTTCCAGTGGATGGGAGAGGCTCTGGAGAAGTCCTGGAGGTGAACGTGGGAGAGGTGATGAGGGAGCTAGAGGGGAAGATATCTTGGGAGGAGCAGAGTTGGCGATTTGGGCGATATCTGCAGATGGGGTTGGTGTTGTAGCTAGGGGCAGTGTTGTGGATGGCTTTGTAAGCTGTGGTTAGTATTTTTAATTTTATACGTTGGGTTAGTGGAACCCAGTGAAGGGATTGGCGGAGAGGGGCAGCAGTCATTGATCGGTTGGTAAGGTGTATGAGTCTAGCAGCAGCATTCATAATAGACTGAAGGGGGGATAGCCTGTGTAATGGTAGACCAGTGAGGAGGGAGTTGCAGTAATCTAGGCGGGATATAACTAAGGCGGGGATAAGTT